CCGACCCCACGCGCCCCCGACTCTGGCGCCCACTTGCCTCCCCGCGCGCCCGTGCCGTTGCGGCCAACACCACCGCCCCACCGTCCCGCGCGCTCGCCCGTGCCCCCCCGTCGGCCGCGCGCAAGCGCTCGCGCGCGCCATGCCGCCTATGGCCGCGCCCCTTCCCCTCGCCCCGCTCCCGCAGCCTCCTGCGGTCACCAATGCCGCCGCGCCGTCTGCCGCCCGCGCTGGCCACCGTTGGCGTCATACTGATGCCATGCTGATGCAGTAAGCATATTTTTGATTTAAATTAATTCTGTTAATTTCAAAAATGAATTAAAACTTTGATAATTAATATAAAATAAACCGTTTATCAGATGAAAAAACTTTATACATGAAAGTTGCTCAGAACAACGAGACGAATTCGAATACACAGTCCGTTCGTCTGCCGCACATCGCTAGCATAGTGAAAATGCAACCGCCCCCTCCGATTCGACTGTTCGAAAACATCAAACACCGGGAAAGCTTCCCCGGATGTTTAACCCCCTTCGGCGGTATCGTCAACTACCGCGTTAGGGCGCACTTAGCACCGTTATTTGTCATGTCATGCATCTGTTTGCATTATATTCATTGTTTCTTCCCCCTCTTCTGTCCGGTAGACTACGAGACTGACGCTGCTGCTGCCCGATCTACTACGTTGTTGATGACCCGTCCTTCTCTGCCGAGCTTCCAGGCAAGCAAACCCCCCTTGATCAACAAGATATCGCCCACTCTCTTCTCTCTTATTCTTGCATTAGATTTGCTACTGTTGTTGATTCGATAGCTCCTATTCTGTTGCATAGCCTGTCATTGTTGCTACTGTTGTTGCCTTTACCTGCAATCCTAAATGCTTAGTATAGGATGCTAGTATTTCATCAGTGGCCCTACATTCTTGTCCGTCTGCCATGGTATACTATCGGGCCATGATCACTCGGGAGGTGATCACGGGTATATACTATGAATATTACACATGATACATGTTGTGACTAAAGTCGGGTCGGCTCATAGAATATCCACAAGTGATTCGGATATGGGGGTTGAAAGGACAGGTGGTTCCATCTAGGTAGTGGTGGACCTGGGTTCCCGACGGCCCCTGAGTGTTACTATAAGGCGGAACGACAGGGCAGGTTGTGACCACCTAGGAGACAGGTGGGTCTAGTCCATGGTCGGCGTCCGCAGATACATCAAATAACACGCTTAACGAGATCTTGGCATTTGATCTGAGTTGGGTCGTTGGCCTTATACGCACTTACCGCCACGTGGGACAGGATATGGGCAACCGGAGTTGTAGTATCAGCCGAAACCTCCTACACGTCAGCGATGGAGCGGTGCGCACCGGATTGGACTGAAACGCCTACTCTTGTATTAGGGGGGCTAGGTC